TGTTACATAATTGTTTCTTCACCATCAGCCGTGTTTTTTTTAATGCAGAGGGGGCAAACGTGCCTGCGGCTCACCTGTTGATAAGTGACTACCGCCACCCATAAACAACTGCAACACCAGGGGAATTGCGGATGCGTTACCGGCCTTTTAAAAAAGAGTAGGCTGTTTTCTTGCTGCAGCTATATCATGGTTGTGGCATGGATAGGTAAATATACCGGAAAAAAACCACGCTCTAACAGAATACTAGCGTTTTACTTTTTAAATACTTAGTTTAATACTTCTGTATTTCCTATGGTGAGTGGAGAGAAATGGAGATACTATCTTACTGACAACGAGGCGTTGTCACCCTTCTAGACTAAGACGAAATACCTTACAGTGTGTAATTTTACTGATCCCTTCAAAGAGAACACAATGAATACACTGTTGCTCGACGGCAGAAATAGATAAGAGTGGTTCTAACGCACATGGACTCCGACTCCAAAAGAGAAAAGGAGCACCATCACCCGGTAAATCTTACCAATTTGACTTTTGTTGCTATGTTTTCAATTTCTATGCTTTTTGGTTTTGGACTTAACAGGGAACCAGTCTCGGCGGCACGATCGTCATGAAATTATTTATTAGAATAGAATATTCTGTCTTTAGGGAAAACACTATTATTCATAGCCTTTTTTCTAAAGATTCATCTATATACATTTATTTTTAAATTGCATAATTAATTTTATTTTTAAAATGTCAAACGACTATGGAAGTTTTAACAGAACAATTGTTTGTAGATCAAATAAATATTTATAACACAAGGGGATCAAAGGCACTTCTGCTGCAATTGGCTGCATTGCTATGCATTGCTAACATTAAGCTATTTTATTACTAAGGCGTTAATTATATGTAGTTGTCCTTTTTCATTTACAGTAATACAATTATTGAATGCTTTCAAAACTATATTTTTCCTACATGGAGTGATGACCTGGTAAGAGATGCAGGATGCTCAGAATTGTGCTTTGTGGCATACTTACATAAAGCATTGGACTTGTGAAGTGGACGATGATGATAATGATGATGATAATGAGTTATTCCCGCCATTATTTATTCATTTATTCACTAAAAATAAAATAACTCATATTCATAATATTTAAGAATTATTAAAGGTATTAAAAACCACAACATGATAAAATTACAATTTCAAAATTTTTGTATCACCTGCAGATATGTTTCAAACAAACAGTGTGAGTCTGATCATCAGGTCTCAAGTCTGGAGGTAACTGTCTGGACACCATCCAAATGTATAATATATTTGGGTGATGAGAATAGACTAATACACATACAATCAACCACTAAATTATTATTATGTGGTAAGGAATAATATACGACACCCCCAGTGTATCATTGAGATGGACAGGATCAAGGCACAGACAAGGACAGAGACAACTGAAATCCTATTGTTATCATTACAGTCCATCACAAGTCCACTGTAAATAGCCCCCTCACAGATTGCCACAAGGTACAGTCCCTAGCCACCTGCATTAATTAAATATCTGGATGTTAAAGCTTTTAGAAAAATTTACTTCGCAAATATCCGCGTTATAAAATAAAATGATGTGTCTTACCTACTATGAAGAGCACCTCCCGCCCTCCCTCAATTGCGTGCACTATCCCCGTCACCACTAATCCCAGCACCGCTACTCTCAACACCACTACACGAGGCAAGACACACCACTGACGATAATACGACACGTGTTTCGCCTCTACACGAGGCATCCTCAGGTGATATAGACTCTACGGTGGCTAACCGCTAAGTGAGCGGCGAGCCAAAACAAATGCCTTTTATACAGACCGATGACGCAACCGCTCTCTACTTAAGGAGCGAGCGACTGCGTCATGCGATAAAACATGCGACCAATCACCGCCGGACTTACGCAGCCGTTTGTAAAATTAAAAACAAACCGCCGCGCAACGCCCACCCTCCAACCACGCAACCAATCGCCGAACACCGTGAGGGTGACAAACGACCATATTGCGAGGCTCTCTATTATTAGAGAGCAGGCTTAAAGATATTTAGATTTATTTAGCAGGCTTTTTGGAATTTCGTTAGGGAGTAAACAGTCAAAACTTAATAGAACTCAGATTACTAAAGACGGGCAAGTGATTAGGGATGCGAATTGTGCAGAGTATTTTGCTTCATATTTTCAATCAATATATAGAAAGGAGCGGCCCACGCTAGATACACGCACGATAGGCGCAAGCGTTAAGCTACGCGACGAGCTCAACACGCGTTCATATCGGGCGGATAAATGCGCGGGATGTTCGAGACGCGCTCACACATCTTAAGCCCAAAAAGTCCGTGGGTCCAGATGGGATACCACCGTTCATTTTAAGAGACTGCTGTGCGGTGTTTGAATTGCCTCTCTTACATATTTTTAACCTGTGTCTAAAAGAAGGTTACTACCCGGACATATGGAAAGTGACTCGAGTGATTCCTGTGTTAAAAGGAGGATCAGGTTCCAAGGTGGATGAATATCGACCGGTAGCCGTATTGTCTGCAGTCGCTAAGGTATTCGAGTCGATTATTTATAAATATGTTTATAATCAAGTGTACCCGCAGCTTACCGATGCTCAGCATGGTTTTCGGTCAGGTCGAAGTACGGGGAGTAATTTAATGTCTTTTATGAATTATGTGGTGCCTGTAGTAGATGCTGGGAGCCAGGTTGACACCGCATATTTTGATTTTCAAAAAGCCTTTGATACCGTTGATAACGATATTTTGTTGGTAAAGTTTGCCGAGTTAGGTTTTACACCTAGCTTACTAAATTTTTTTGCAAACTATCTTAGTGGGCGTAGACAATACGTGGATTTTTGAGGTTTTGAATCGCAACCGTACTGTATATATTCTGGAGTAAGTCAAGGGAGCAATCTCGGTCCTTTATCATTTATGTTAATGGTTAATGATCTTCCTACGGTCGTTGAGGAGGCACAGTGTTTGCTATTTGCCGACGATCTTAAAATTTATTTGAAAGTAAACAATGCTTCTGACTGTCAAAGTTTGCAAAGAGACATTGACAGAGTGGCACGGTGGGGTATAGAAAACAAATTGAGCTTAAATGTGAATAAATGTTGTGTCATGAGTTATGGTCGTGCAAAAGCCCCTCGTAATTATGCTTACCAAATGAACGGCCTCGTAATCCCTCGAGTTACACATATTAGAGACTTAGGCGTCGAAATGTTCCCGGAACTTAATTTTCGTAATCACATTTTAAATATTTGTAAAAAAGCTTTTAGGAATCTCGGCTTTATCTTAAGGCAGTGCAGGGATTTCCGTAATGTACTTACTATTAGAATTTTATATAATGCTCTCGTAAGAAGTCAACTTGAAACGAATGCCATTATTTGGAATCCACATGAAAGCAAATATAATGTCATGATCGAAAAACTACAAAATAAATTTACACGTTTTTTATATTTCAAGCAGTACGGAATCTATCCTAGTTTTCCACTCATGTATCCGAGTCTATTTGTACTGGGTATGGTCGGTTACAGCCGCCTAAGTGTGAGGAGAGACATCGCGCTTATTAAATATGTTTGGAACGTATTACGTGGATGGATACATCACCCAGATGTGCTCGCTGCGCTAAGGCTACGTGTACCTGATAATTACGTGTTCTCGTCGCCGCGCCCCTTTACTCCTCGTGCCCACTGCTAGGACGAAGTTGCTTCAGAATGCACCATTGACACGTGCCATACACTACGTTAATATCATCTCACAGGATATTGATATATTTACATGTAGTGAGACGAAGTTCACAATTGCAGCATACAAATGCGTTGAAACTTGTAATTTTTTTAATTAGTTTTTTATTTTATAATCATGTTAATATTATTATTCATTATTCATTATTTTATAGTCATAATTTATAAGGCAGTAGTTTTCTTATATTTAGTTTAGTTATAGCATCGCATTGGTTAATATAACTGTAATGATGTTATTAATTATGTAATAAATAAATAAATAAATTTAAGAGAGGTGAGTTAGTAACATTTGTTTGTTCATTCAGCAATGCAACGGTACATGGAATGAACAAACAAATGTTAGCCACCGTAGAGTCTATATCACCTGAGGATGCCTCGTGTAGAGGCGAAACACGTGTCGTATTATCGTCAGTGGTGTGTCTTGCCTAGTGTAGTGGTGTTGGGAGTAGCGGTGCTGGGATTAGTGGTGACGGGGATAGTGCACGCAATTGAAGGAGGGCGGGAGGTGCTCTTCATACTAGGTAAAACACATCATTTTATTTTATAACGCGGATATTTGCGAAGTAAATTTTTCTAAAAGCTTTCATATAATGAATTTCCGCAAAGTAACGCCTGATTCTATTAATTATCTGGATGTTTATTCTGGTCGTCACTCCATCCAACACTATGCTTTTTTTTAATAGGATAAGGGTGACAAATAAGCACACATTCCACCTGATGGTTGCTGTGGCCTGTAAACATCTACATCTATTCTAGACTACAAATCAAACCCGTGAGGACTAAGATGGAATGCCTCGTTTCCAGTAAAAAGGGTTGCCGGTTCTCTACACTCACCATACGAAACACAGCAACGTCAAGCTGCTATTTCACGCTGGTATTCTATGAGAGGGTGGTCATTACCCGGTTGAGCTGACCCATTCGTGCTACAACTATACTACTAATATAGCTGCAGCATGGCTCTATCACTCATAAAATGCTTGCCAGTATGTGGCTGTTTCTCGAGAACCTTTCTTGCCCATCAGTTGTCAGTTCCAACTTTTGTTAATTCCAAGTGCCAATTTAGCTTACTGATCTGCTGGATTCTACGAATGTCTTCTCTGAGGACTTTATCCCGCAGAGAAATTTCGAGTAAAACCCTTTTTATGCTGACTTTGAGCTTCCACATGTACGGCTTGCAGTGAAGAAAAATGTTTCAGCTCCTTAAATCATCACTGACATCAGACTTAGAAAAAATATTTGTTAATAAAGCAAGTACATACCAAGTCCACGTACTCATGACTGACAGCAACTAATACAGATGAGGCACCCATCTGTACTACAGGTTCGTAAGAAGTGTTCTCCGTCATAGCACGGAGCATAGCATTCGCTAGGTCCAAAGCTACTTGTGAATTGAGTTTTTTCACTTGATTCACACATGTTTGTTCTAAGACCCTGCAAATTTAATCTTGCATTAATTTAATTTTCACAATTCGCTGAAATATAATAGTTTGCCATTTGATTACAGAGACTATTTTGACATCTACAATCGTCCAACTAAAAACAATGTTTATGATAATAAAGTGAACTTTATGGTGCTGGTAATATCAATCATACATGTATGTATGAGAGATAATTTATTTGAGATAATTTATTACAATCAATATATTTCAAGGTAAACTATGGTCATTACTTTTTTGACGGCTCCGTGGCTTTGCAATAACTTGCAGCACTACGGGCCGCAGGTTCGAATCCCGCACGGAAGAAATATTCGTATGGCCTACAAATAATTGTTCTGGGTCTCGATGTTTATCCTTGTGAAATCTATGTATGTAAACTGCCCCCGCGATACAGGAGAAAATCCTAGTGTGGAGGTAACATTTATAAGAATTAAAAAAAAATTACTCAACAATACTTAGGATGTTTTACTATATATCTAATACAGTATTATTTATGATTAAATGTGTTTCCTTAAACTAATTATTCAGACTATGCCAATAGCAACAAAAAAAGTGTCATTTCAATATCTGAAATGAATACGGTTTTTTTTATTTCATCTGCTTTGTAGGCATTACAGAACTTTTTTTCATAATCTTATTAATACTAAAAAAGGTCAAGTTATGCAATTATATTGTACCTACAAATGTAAAAGGATTTGCTCTTGCTTACTGATTCTTAATAGGAAATCTACAGAATAGAGAAGGTTTGTGTAGTATTGGTGCCATAGAAATAGTTTAATAAATTGTTTGAAAAAATTTATTAAAATATTAACTGCCTTACAATAAGTAAAAAAAGGTAATAGTGAAATTTATATGATACAAAAATAGAAAAAAGTTTCATAATGAATATTAAAAAGCTTCCTAACCTATCTAATCTTAATTAAAAATGGTTTGTAAACTTACGTAAATCTTTGTTCATCCGCAGAACTATAATATATGTAATAAAGGTAAATAATTTTAAGTAGTTACAATATCATCATAATATACACATATTTATTATTTTATATCATTTATAATAAAATAATTCAGTAAAGGTAAGGTTGAGCTCTGCATAACAACTAAATTTTACATAATATTATTGATAAATACTTATAAGATAACCCTATGTACATCCTCATTCTGGGCAGTGAAGAAAAACATTGTGTGGAAACCTGCATGTCTGAGAAATAAGAGAAAAAAATATTTCGAAGACTGTGGAGTTAGCCAACACGTGTTGGGGCAGCACGGTGGATATTTCCTTGCCCTAAAACCCTCACATAAATGAGAGGAGGCCTGTGCCCAGCAGTGGGACATATATAGGCTGTAACTATTGACAGATATTATTTATACGTATAAATAAAATTGATTTGTCTGTCTGCAATATAAATATAGCAGACTTTCTAAAGCTCAGACAGTTATTTCCATGCTTTCAAACACATAACTATTATAAAGTACAATAGTACGCCGATTATCTGAACGCTGATTAACCATAATATAAAAAATTAAAACTAAGTACTGTAAGTAAGTAACGTTACTTACTTACAGTACTTGGTTAACTGATATTAAAAATAACAGTGAAAAAATTTTAAGTTTTGTGACTGCGTTGGAAACTGATGTTGGATGTTCGTCACAAAAAGTAATGAAAAAGGCAAAGGATGAACAGCTTGAGAATGCAGTTTTTACGTGGTTTCTGCAGCACTGATCTATTGGACAACCGATTTCAGGATCGATTTTATGTGAAAAGGCACAATGTTCAGTGAAAAAATGGGTGTGACTGGTTTTACACTTTATAAAACTTTATAAAGTGTAAAACCATTTATAAACTTAATAAAGTTTATTTTATGTGTGACAGTTCGTTTTTCTATATTACATACCATATGTCTATGTACGATTATCCGAATTTACCTCGGTCCCAATTAATTCAAATGATTTATTAGTAGTATTTGTCTCCCTGTTTGTCTGACTGTATGTCTAACTTGGCTAATCTTCCACATGGCAGAACTGATTGTGATGAAACTTCACAAATGGATAAAGAGCAGTATCTCAGGAGTTTTTGTGACATCCTTGAGAGAGGCATATGTTCAGCAGTGGTTTTGTGATAAGCTGTAATGATGATGATGATACAGAGCATGGTCTATGGTATATATAGGCTTAGCTTTCCATTTACTCCCGTCGAGTTGGGGGTTGATACGTATTTTTACAGAAAAGTTACACTATTATAAGCACACACACAAAGTTACAACATGCGGAAACGCGTAATTTTTGAGAAAAAAGTTGTTCAAAGTCAATTATTCCTGCATTGTTTATATCTAATCCTACCATAAAACTGACGCCATTTTGTAATGTCATTGTCGTCAGTAGGGATGTCGATTCTTTCCGAAAAGGGTCGATTTTTAAATAGATTCAAATTGTAAGCTGATGTATCGATTTATAAAAAATCAATTTCTAAAATATCTATATTTTTTATGTTTGCATTTATAATGTAAATATAATTCCATTTTATGAAAAACAAGAAAGATACCATAATAAATGATCTCTTATTGAATTTTGTTTTATTTTAACAGTACCAATTAGGGCAGATAACAAATAAAATAGGTTAGGTTCAACTTATGTCAAAGAACCGAATTGATTGACCCCGACTCCACCTGGTACGAGTCTGTCCTACCCCTAGAGTGGTTTTAAAGAGCCGGAGGCGCGTAGGGGGAGCAGCCTCCGTCTGCTGTAAGCTGAGGGATGCCTGCGATTTGTTACGCTAAGGCGTAGAGGCTGCTCTTCCCACAGCGCCGGAGACGTAGCAGTCTCAAAATAGGTACAGAAATCCTTCTGAATCAGTCCCCCTATATTTTATGATGAAGGGGATTTTTTTCTCATAAAATGGATTTATATTTACATTATAAATGCAAACATGAAAAAAATATAGATATTTTAGAAATCGATTTTTCGGGAATCGATATATCAGCTTACAATTCGAATCTATTTAAAAAATCGATATTTTTCGTGAATAATCGCCATCCTTACTGACAATAACAATAAAAAAATGGCGTCAGTTTTATTGTAGGATTAGACATAAAGAATGTAACAATAATTGATTTTCAATAACTTTTTTCTCAAAAATTATGCGCTTCCGCATATTGTAACTTTGTGCGTGTGCTTATAATAGTGTAACTTTTCTGTAAAAATACGTATCAACCCCCAACTCGATGGGAGTAAATGGAAAGTCGTACCTATATATATAGTAATAGAAATGGTGGCATGTATTTTTAACACACACTATCTGATTGTAAGTGGATGCTATGGCTCATAGACAACTACATCAAACCTGAATTAAGTAATATAAATAATAATAATCAAAATACAGATGTGTTATTACCTCAGAGGACGAAGACAACATGTAAACAGAACTAGAAAAAAGGGTCTCCAGTTCTAATCACACACCATATGATAGACAGCAGCAATTTGCTGCCTCTTCACTTTTAATAGGTGCGAGCATAATCTTAACCCGTTCAAGTCGACCTATTCGTGCTGCAGCCTGCAATATGGCTCTCCAACTTATAAATTGACATCATAAGAACAACGATACTATATTTTTCGGCCTTAAGTTCATATAAAAAATGTGTAACTACTCACTTCACAATATTACTCAGCTGCGCATTGTTGACTTTGACGGTATTTTTATAAAAATCGCAAAATATATCTATTACTTCGTTTGGATACGTATTTGCGATCTTCGTTAGAGATTTTATCACGACATTGTTTACGGAATTGTCATTATCTCCGATAGCATTTATTAATACTGTCACAGTATCTACAAATCAAGAGTTTTTTTCATGTTAATGTTGTAAAAATTTACATTATAAATAAATAAATGCCTTTTTTTTAATTACCTCTTAAACACTCTGACTTTGTTAACGTCATTCTATTACTCTGCCGTATATGTTTTAATATTAACACAATATATTTTTATATTACATTCATTGTAAAACTTAACTTTTCCAATTAGTAAATTCTAATCACTACAATTCACAAATCACAATTCAAAATCACAATAATTGACACTTGACAGAACAGAACAGCAGACAACAGAAACACAGAAACAGAAAGTCAACGTCAAACTGTCAGTGTCATGCTCAGTCATGCTCATGTCAAGCTCACAATAGAGATGTCAACAAAATATTTGCTATAGGTAGAGAGAGCCGAATATGAGGAACCGATACGTCTGTTATCCTTAGAAAAACCATGATCAAAATATTTTGATGAAATGTTGATGACTTAGGGATTGCAGCCCGCAACTCCTCATTACGCGCACACAGAGACACCACTACTTATATAATAAGCGATTTCGATAAATAGTTCTAAGTTTGTAAATGTATGATAAATTTCTTTTTTCCTTATAGATTTTTTTGTCTTATCCCGTTTAGATATTTTAACTTGTTTCATTTTCTTATAGAATGAGGTAATAAACATGGACACAATCTGTCTAATGATAAATAAAAATCTGACACATGATCATATTTACGCAAACCAAATATGAATCTTACACAAACATTTTGAATTCGCTCAAATTTTTTTAAGTTGCATTTCATTAGCATTAAATAGCTGACATCTGCCTAATCAACGATGGGAAGAAAAAGATTTTGTGCGAGCGTAGTTTTAGTAGCAGTATGTAATAAGTTTCGTGATCATCTGAGAGAATGAGCTGCTACAAAAGGTTTATAACTAATTCCTGTAGCTAAGGACTCCAATTCGTCTAGATATTTTACTATAATCGATTTTAATTTTGCACCGATTGCGATTCTTCCATTGATTCAACATGTCGACTGATGCTATCCTATCGCTATCGCGACCGGTATATTGTAATTTTGTAGTTTTAGTTGGTTGTAATAGGTAGTCTTTGGTGTAAAAATTCTTGTTAGTTTATGGTAGAACACTTTAAAAAACGTATTAATTATATACTCTTTGATTACAATTATCATAGACTTACAGTCTTATTCAAAAAAATCCTCTAAAATATACAAAAAAAATATGTTATAACAGTAATTTGTAAAAAGGCTCATTAGTACCAATAAACCTATTATAAAATTCTCTATTCATAAACGTTCAATAAACCTGTCGTAGTTAAATCGTATTTATGGAATACTTAAGATTTATTATGTTGCCATTCTGATGAATCCATAGACTAACCACGGTGAAAAAAAAAAGATTGACAGCAATTAGGGCCAATAATAATAATCTTCCACTCATCAGATGTCGCTAGTTGTGACTGGGTAAAATTTTTTGTTACATAGTGTCAGTTAATTGAGAAATTAGTTTTAAATAATAGTTTATCATTATCTAGAGTATTATATTAATAAAAACACAATACGTCAGCGGTTTGATTTTTAAATTTTTGCACTTTATAACTCTTTTTTTTAAATCGGCTTTTAGTTATATTTATAGTTTGGTTTATTCATTTCTAACGTAATTGATATAAAATATAACTAATGATACAGAAAGAAACCTTAAAGATTACATTTTTCTAAGAAGTTATCGGCCCCGCTATGAATCTGTCAAATATTTAACCTCACTAAAGTGGTGTCACCCTAATGGCAGAAAGTCGTGGATTGTGACATTCCCGTCAAAACAAGCGTGTTGTTTTCGTTAAATCGGTTCAAGAAATTTATTTGAGTTTTATTTTATACTCATTAAAGGTAATGGAAAACATTACATGTAAAAGTTTTCGAAGCGGTATCGTTGTTTGAACTCTACATCGGGCAAAGGAAACGGATCATATCTTTTCCGGTAAACCTTACAACGACGATGCGGAACATTTCCAACTTGTTCCAGAGCGTCTAAAACTTGCAGAACTTGCATAACGACACTAGCAATCAAAATTCACAAAAAACAATTTCAGCAACAATAACTTTTACAACTTCAACAATCAGCTGTTGCCAGCTAGGGATGTGAAAAAATAATCGATTTTCATATTAATCGATTATTTTTTTCTTATAATCGATTTATCGAAGTCGATTTTTTATAATAAAAATCGATTTTTAATAAATCGATTTTTATGTAAATTACGCGTTTCAATCGATTTTTGTAATCAGAGTCATCTGTGCAATGGATGTAAAAACGTGAAGTAAGTTCAATAACATGAATAAGTCAATCAAAAGACGGCGTCACCTTTATGTATCTCTATGTATGTAAAACAATTTCGCTTTTCGTATGTTTTCAACAGGTTACTTCCTCCGCTAGGAGTAAAAGTATTCTGTGGTTTTCTTTCTTTCTTTGGTTAGTGTAAATAATTATATATAAACAATAAAAATGTCTTGTGAAACGCGTAAAAGTGACTGACAGAAGTATTTTATAATGAAAAAATGATAGCGGCCAACACGTCAATAGGCAAAAATACTGAATTGGATCTATATATTGCGGCACCACTATCAAATCTTAAGGCAGATGCCCTCAATATATGGAGAAGCTCTGAAGGAACTTTCCCTAAACTAACCGAATTGGCTTTTAAACACCTCTCAGTGATGGCCAGTTCCGCGCCAGCCGAAAGATTATTTTTGAAAGCGGGAAATATTGTCAGGAAAAAACGAAACCGTATTTTGGGAAAGAGACGAAGAAGAATTTTGGTGAAATGATTGTTTTTAAAGTCTTTAACTGAAAATTCATGACAATATTTTTTATACTTTTTTTGTTTACACAAGTTTAAAAAAGATTTGTCTTGTATTTTAGTTTTGAGATCAAAAGGTTGTCGTCGGATTATTTATAATTATATTTTTATTTTATTTTCATTCTAATCCAATGTAAATGTTTAAAAAACTATCGTTTACTAAAATTACGGTTTCTTTATGATTTCTTATATTTACGCGAAGACTACACATTAAATGAAATAATTTTTTACGGATTTGATCACGCTTAATTTAACTTTTTAATTTCTGACGTTTCGGGTGCTTCACAGCACCCATGGTCACGGGGGGAACTGAGGTATTTGACGTCCAGATGTCATAGATAGCCTGGCTAAATTCAGTTTTTGAATATTAATTTTTGGTCCGATCTACGCAGAATGAGCTTACAGTATCATGAAGTCTTACAGTGGTATGCTTGGGTTTGGATTTAATTTTATTAATTATAGGATGCCAAGCAGATGGCAGCACCCATCCATCTTCTCTATTGAAATTCGTATGTTTTTTAATTTTGATAGCCTCGCGAATCATCCTTGGTAGGAATCGGTGTTCTTTTGCGAGGATTTGTGGTTCAACTATGACATAGGGACGTCAAACACCTCAGTCCCCTCTGTGACCATGCGTGCTGTAAAGCACCTGAAATGTCGGGAATTAAAAAGTTAAATTAAACGCGATAAAATCCGTAAAACTTACTTTAATTTATCGATTCTGTTTATTTTGGTTGTAATAAATTGTTAAATGGCACTGAACATTTGTGGCAGTAATTATTTTTAGTTTTTTAATGTTCAAAGTTACATGTTAAAAAAATTGTTCTGTATTTATTTCTAAAACCAGAAGATTATTTTTCAAATAAAATTATTTTTTTCGCAAAAATCGATTATTTTTTATAAAAAAATCGATTTTTCTTTAATCGATTATTATCACAAAGAAAAAAATCGATTTTTTATTAATCGATTTTTTTCACTCAATGTCACATCCGTATTGCCAGCTCGCACGCAAATCGGCCATATTTTACTTTATTACAGGTTTATAGTAGAGTGGACCCTTCTATAACTTATGAATCCGTTATTGAATACATAATGCGTTTTAGCGTTATTAAACGTTTATGAATAATGTTTGACGGGTACCTCCTTATAAGAAGCTAATAAACCTATTGTAACTTTTTATGAATAAGACTGTTAGAATATGCTGACGTAACAAATATAATAGGATTTAAGCATAGAGAGAACAAACGCCAAAGAATATAATATTTTTAAACACTACTTTGAATAGGTAGTGTACTTAAAGTGCTCATAGTACTTGATTTCGCCATCTGAACTCAGATGAATTTTAATTTGTTTCATATTAGTACTTCTTATTTGTTTGTGATATTAACTAAGTTTAACTAGTCAAATATATATTTTTTGTGAAACTCCTCGCTATAAAAATATATATTACGAACACATGTGACCCGCTTTAAGCTTAAGATTACCAGATCTTTTATCTGCTTTTAAATAACATTATAATATGTAGGATGTAAATTTATTTTAATTTTTCAAATTACTACTTTTATTAAAGTTAAAATCTGTTATGTACTACTCTACTCAACTACGATCCCACTTTGATGGTTAGTGATAATGCAGTCTTGGATAGCAAAATGCACTAATTATTATTAAAGTTCTTTTATTTTAACCATTCTAACAAATACAAATATCAATACACGCACAAATTTGGTGTTGGTTAAGTTTGAAATTAGTTGGTCGCTCCAAACGTATGCGGCCGGACCAGAATGTTTTTTTTATAGGTAAAACTAAAGAGACAAATGAACTTACAATCCACCTAAAACATAAATTAGTGTATACACACACGTAGTTATGCATCTAATAGTTTTAAAATGTTCCATGGCCTCGGGTCGTGTCGTGACCTCTGTATTAGGTAATTTTCTGCAACAGACGCTCAGTTTTAACTATTAACTTATTATTTCATGATTTCGTACATAATATCAAGTACTGAAGGCGCCTGAGGGGACAATAAACTAGAGGCTTATATTAACATTTACAACAATTATTTATATTACAACATTAGAGCATTTGTGTCGTCATTTCCATAAATAGTCTACGTGCACAGACACTTAATACACAAAATCGCATCACTTTTAAGTATCAAAACACACTCTAAGCCATTATTTAAACAACAAAACAGAAGCAACAATCTGCAACAGGTTACGTTCCTGTCAAATCACCGATATAGTGTGTTTATGTGTTAATTTGTCCAAGCATACAAAAGTTAAAGTAAATGAGGGCTAATAATTTTCTGCTTACCAGATGTCGCTAGTTGACACTGAGGTAAAGTTTTTTGCTAGACAATGTCATTTAAGTGAAAGTTAGTTTTTAACAATAGATTATTAGTTTCTAGAGTAATAAATTAATACAGAAAACAATGCCTCAGTGCTTTGCTTTAATTTTTTGCACAATTTTAATTATTTAAAAAAATTACTTTTATGAATATCTGCAGTTTGGTTTATTTAGTTTTATTCTTATTATAATACAAAATATTGCTAATAGTACAGAAAGAAACATTAACCTTTACATTTTCCGATCAATTTAACTCACAGAACACTAATACCCTTAGGCGGGATTTAACTTCCCTGCCATGAAATCTGTCAAATATTATACCTCACTTTTAACCTCTCAGACCTTGACATTTTATTGGACATATTTAGTTAGAACTATGGTCAAGCCAAAGAGTATAGTAGGTCAGGCCAGACGATTTTTTAAAAAAATGGTAAAAATAACTTAGAGTCATTACTATGTTCATATCCAAAAATAAAAAATTATCAACAATTAAAATATCGAATTATTTATATGAAGGTCAAGTGAGCGCTAGAGTGACGACGATTGCAAGACGATTTGTCGATAAATGAAATGTTTCGAGAAATTATCAATTACTGTGTAGTGGCGGTGTATGAATATTCATACTATTCCGTGGGTTTCGTAAGAGGCGACTGATCCACTGTTAAATACAACAAGGTACGTGTACCGTGGAACAGAACGTGGCAACTATGACAAGTATACCCTCTATGAGGAATATAGTGGAGGCCTATGTTCATTGGGGGTTTTTATAAGATGTAACGGTCCATCACCAGCAGTGGAATGAAACTGTAAGGAGAGGGAGGGATTAATTTTATTATTTAAAAAAATATTTTTGTGTTTTTTTTTATAGAAGAGGGGGCAAACGAGCATGCGGCTCACCTGATGGTAAGTGACTACCGCCGCCCATGAACAACCGCAACACCAGGGGAATTGCAGATGCGTTGCCGGCCGTTTAGAAAGGTGTAAGCTCTTTTCTTGAAGGTCCCTAAGTCGTATCGGTCCGGAAAATCCACCGGTGGTAAACAATTATGTGTAAAAAAGTCATCAAACAGCATCAAACAATTTATTAAACAAAAGTTGCGTAAACAAGTTCAATGGTTAAAACAATATTAAATAACAAAACCAAACAATTCTACTGAAAAGAAAACAAAGTAAATATTATTTCACTTTTACAACTAAGGCAAATCTAACGAATCGCTATATTATGTTAAAATTCAATATTTTAACATATATATATATATATATATATATATATATGTTAAAATCGAATAAATATTATGAAGAAAGAAACAAGGACATAGAAACACTTGATTTTCATAAAGAAAAGAAATATATAATATAATTATATCGATAAACTCAGTAGAAGCCTCAAAAAAAATTAAATCACAGGTATATACTTGTACATCCGTAAGATAGCGTAATAAAGTATATACTTTATTACGCTATCTTATACTTTATTACGCTATCTTTGAGCAACGCCGTTTTTCTAACGACTTCAAACAGGAGAAGGAAGTCGACTGTGTTTTTTTATGTGTGTTACCTCATAACCTTCTGGGTGAACTGATTTCGATGATTCTTTTTTTATTTGAAAGCTGGTGCTTCACATTCACATTTTTATTTTTAGTTATTGTTGAAAACAATTTCGCCATAATGTTCACTATATATCGAAATTATAACATAAAACGTAATTTTCGCGCATTGGACTTTGTGGGATATGAAAATTTGTGTTTATTACATGATTTATTGTGATAACTCACACTTTTTATTTACTTTTCAGTTAATTCTGGCTATTAAATATAGTGATACGTGAACGACACAGTATTTGAAATGGCAATTTTATAAAATATATGAAATTGTTACGAAGCAAAATATAAGGAATTAAATTTTAAAACAGTGTAATTACTTACCATTTGTATAAAAACTAACAAAAAACTTTCTATTGTACCCACTTAATTTTTTGTAAAATTTCTAGTTGCCTCTTACACTCACGCGGCGAAGGATATAAGACTAAAGTATGTGACGTAAACGCGACGCGAGGCGGAAACTCGTCATTTAAAGTAAATTCTGTTAATTTAAAGAAGCGTAATTTAATAACGAAACTAATTCTAATAAAATTTTAGTTTTATAGTTCATCTAAATAACATTTAAAAAATAATTGTTATGAGCACAATAACTATGGTTCTGACCATAGATAAATATATATGTAGCAAGCTAGTTCTGTTCTGACTAAACGTAGTGTAGTGATCATATACTCTTTGGTTCTGAGGGGTCCTTTCTAAATATTACCATACTCTTTGGAGCGTTCTACAAAGTTGACCTTGGATTGCCTCATGTGTACTTCAAAGGCTTGACAGATTAAGTGGCGCTGCCTTGGTGGTGGAAAATGTTGTTTATGCCTCCATTACTCTGAGGCAAAGACAATATAATCACTTGCTCTGAGGGTAAAACGGCAAAAGAGTAGTAATTATATACTCTATGATTGAATCTACGTCTACTTCTATTGTCTATGGGATTTCACTATACACGAAGCGAACATTATGTGTGGTATACATACTACATAATACATATGTACAAAATTAATTTTCACGTTTTATGCAAATCGCGAATAAAGCAGACGTGCCGCTCCCTTCACCTAGTAGATTTTTAATGAAACAAGAAATTTATGCTGTACCAGTATACTTTTAACAAGATACAAAATATTTCCGACTAGAATCCAAACGACTTTCACCGGAAATATCAATAATTCGATTTGACGAGACAAGGGTTGTGGGATCATCCCGCATATCTGTGATTGATCTCACAATGTATGCGTGTGTCGTGTGCATGGTCAGTTACTGATATAACTGTGTTATGTACAGTGTGGCTCAGTTAAGTGACAAAGCAGAAGCGTCGGCTCCCACTCGAAACTATTATCCCGTTCGTGATTACATTGGACCGGGAACGAGCCACTTGGTTTAGTTGCTGCAGGGACTCCAAAGCGGTAAATACGGAGTCGCAAATCCCGCTTCGCATCATTTATCGTCAAGATTTCGGTTAGTATGCACCATAGCCTTCGTTTCATATTTCATGTATTCAGAAATCGGGCGTCGCTCGCCCGTTTCTGACATTGAAAAGTGCCCGATTAGCTGCCATATATTCTTAAAATAGATGTATAATATCGAGCCCCTTCTGGCAGCGACAGCAATCAGCTGATCGGAACATTATAAAATAACATTAATCTCATTTATTTATCCATTCATTCGAGACTTCATTAGTCTATCCTAGTTTTAATTAAATTACTCGATTTATCAGTATTGGGTCCGTAAATCAGTTTTAATACTGATTTCAGCCTTTATGAACTGAATCTTTTTTTTTCAGATTTAAAAATGGTGCAGCAAGATTTGACTTAGATGCACTGAACACAGATATACGAATAGGTGATGGTCAGGAATGGCTCAGGGAGGCTCATTGGTTTGAGTTCCGTGGGAGCTAAAACAATCAGTGCATCTAGTGTAGTGTTGTGAAGTGTCTAGTCATTGTGTGTGTGAGTGAGTGTTTTCTGAACCGGAATGCCCTCCGCAATGTTGTCAGCTGTGCTTGAAGAGGAGCCAGATCTGTATGAGGCATTCCCTCCTCATGTTGACCCCACAGGCATTACTATCCTGACGGAAAGCCCACCAGGTAAAATTTTAAAATTATTAAAAGTTTAAGTAAATTGCTTAAAATAAGGTTCTAAAATTGTTCAACTCTTCCAATTATAATATTTTGCTATCTTTTAAAGATCAAACACTAACTTAAAGTACTGATTGATGGAACAAGAATCTTACTGTTTATATAATCAAAGATAATGTGATTTCTTATTTGGAGCCTATCTTATCTCCCTGTTATATTTTATACATTATGGCCTTTGATATTGTGATTAGGTCACAATAACTCTACTGATATCTGTTAATTATCGGAACAAATAATGTTTATATTTATATTAGTATTTTTAATTGTTCGTATTTGTTCTTGTTTTATGCAAAAAACTTTAGTTTATTTGGTCTTCAGATAGTTGAATTTAGGAGAATATATTTTTTTATTTATGAAATAGTTATATAAAAATATTAAGTTCCAAAATTGTGATGGGTTTAATTTTTTTTAATTGTCATGGTTTTGTTTAGGCAATATGTAATAGAGCCGTGGTAGCTCAGATGGTTAGCGCTTACTATAAGTTTCACAGTACCCAAACAACATGGGTTTGACCCCCACCGGCACCAATGAAACTGTTAATTGCAATTTTAAGTGCTGATTTACCACATGCTATTTTATGTCTGGTGTAAAAAAGATTGATTGGTTAGAGGAAATAAAAAAAAATATATTTAACTGAAACCTATTACTGAAAAATATCTGTTTTTTTTTAATTTTTTCTCATAGTCACCTCTTTGGGTATGGGGTGGGATGGTAAGTATTCTTTTGTTGACATTACATAGCAGATTAAGTATTTGTCAAATTTCATTCAGCAGTTTTATTTACCAATAAAAATCTGTAAAAGTATATATGATTCATACTTTAGTAGTTTCCCATCTCAGAGGGCACAATAAATGAGGAGTTGACAGCGTTGGCAGACTAAATTGCAACCACGTTGGACCATTTTTAATTTGTAATTAAAAGTAACTGCCTAAGCAGTCCACATAATGCAGTGTTAAAATATCCTCTACTTCATATGGTACCGTGGATATCTTGGAGGCGACAGAGAAAACAAACCAGGAGATAGACTGCAGCTTCTTCCTAATCATAACTAAAAATAAAAAAATGTGGTTGCAAACCTGCCTGCCATGTGTGGGAACTGTGACAAATGTCCTCCCCAAGAGCTAATCTATGGAGGAAGCCTATTTTACCACATTTTTATTAAGCCACTTTCTTCTTTGTCTGTTGTTCCGGGTGGAGTTTAGTAATTGATTTTAAACTAACTTTCCAATGAGCTAGAAAATTGAAATTTCGAATATAGTGGAAAATCGGATGACAATGCAAGAATATGACAAAAAATATGGTAAAAATTAAAAAAAAATTGAAAAATTTCACTTGTTTTGCAGTGTACTTTTGATAGGCTGTAAATCTAACCGTAATGGCAAATGACTTTGCAATCGTCCCACTATGTACCGTGTACCTATATTCAATCAAAACAAGCTTTTTATGACATATTATAAGATTAACATAAAGGCAATAATTTATATTTTCATAACATGATTTCATGATCATAATTCAGATAAATATTTAAATGTAACATTATTTGCTGTTGTCAATTTAGGATTGTAATATTTTCTATGTCCATGGCAGAACACAGGCTGATTTTTAAACAATGTGGTAAACATTTTGTTATGAATAAAGGGCAAGATGGAGGAATTTTTTTATATTTTTTTCAACAGCTTATTATTACAGCACACTACTACTTGCTTTTATTTAATAATTTTATTATGTGTATGTATGAGATGAGTGGTTTGATCACTAGGTCACCTTGGTTAGTTCACTGATTGACAGGTTTTTTTTACTTATATACGTGGTAGAGCCATGCTGCAGTTATATTAGTAGTATAGTTGTAGCATAAATGGGTTGGCTCGACCGGGGAAGGACCACACTCTCACAGAATACCAGCGTAAAATAGCAGCTTAATGCTGCTGTGTTTCGTATGGTGAGTGTAGAGAACCGGAGACCCATTTTACTGGTAAAGAGTCATTCTATCTTAGTCCTCACGGGTGACAACGCATCTGCATTTTGATTCGCAAATGAGGTAGATGTCTATGGGCCACAGCAACCACTTACCATCAGGTGGACTGAGGTCTGTTAGGCTGGAATGGTCATTTGGGCAAAATCACTTAAATTTTTGATAAATATTTAGTGCTCATTTAGTGCTAATTTAGTGCTGCAAATTTAAATTTTACGCCAAAATAGCTTGATCAAAAATTAGAAAACTGCTAGCTTTTAATTAAGCTAGCAGTGTTCTACCTATTAAAACGATAACCGCTTAATACAGCACCAAATAGAAGCATCCATAATTTAGTGCTCTTTTAGTGCTGTCGATATACGCAAAAACAAAATTTGGGAAAATATATATTTTTTAATATCATAAACTCTGCTACTTTGACATTTTTAGCAGAGTATCTAATAAAAAAATTACATCAGAGTGGGCTATCACCTAATTACATAAGATAATAAATTAGTGCTCATTTAGTGCTGTCGATATACGAAAAAGGATTTCGGAAATTATTATTTTTAAATACCGTAAACTGCTACCTTGGCATATTTAGCAGAGTATGTACTGAAAAAATTGACATCGACGTGAATTACCACCTAATGATATAAGATAATAAATTAGTGCTAGTTTAGTGCTGTCGATATATGAAAAAGGATTTGAGAAATGATTATTTTTAAATACCGTTAACTGCTACTTTGACATCTTTAGCAGAGTATGTGATGATACATCGACATCCAAGTGAGTTATCAATGATATACGATAATAATTTAGTGCTCATTGGGTGCTGCCGATATACGCGAAAACAAAACTTGGGAAAACATATTTTTTTTGATTTCCATAAACTCTGCTACTTTGACATCTTTATCAGAGTATGTAATAAAAAAATTGACATCAGAGTGGGCTATCACCTAATTACATAAGATAATAAATTAGTGCTCATTTAGTGCTGTCGATATACGAAAAAGGATTTCGGAAATTATTATTTTTAAATACCGTAAACTACTACTTTGACATCTTTAACAGAGTATGTGTTTCATACATTGACATCCAACTGAATTATCACCTAGTGGTAACAATATTTCTTTTCTTTATTACAAATACCGGAAGTTGCTATTTCGACAGTTTTAGCAGAACTCAAGTTAGAAAATTGATTTCTGAATAATCAAATATCAAAGTATAAAGATGTCAAAGTAGCAGAGTTTATGGAAATAAAAAAAAATATTTTCCCAAAATTTTTTTTCGTATATCGGCAGCACTCAATGAGCACTAAATTATTATCGTATATCATTAAGTGATAACTCACTTGGATGTCGATGTATCATCACATACTCTGCTAAAGATGTCAAAGTAGCAGTTAACGGTATATTTAAAAATAATCATTTCCCAAATCCTTTTTCGTATATCGACAGCACTAGATGAGCACTAATTTATTATCTTATATCATTATGTGATAGCCCACTCTGATGTAATTTTTTTCATTACATACTCTGCTAAAGATGTCAAAGTAGCAGAGTTTATGATATTAAAAAAAAATATTTTCCCAAGATTTGTTTTTGCGTATATCGGCAGCACTAAATGAGCACTAAATTATTATCTCATATCTAATGATATGAGATAATAATAACACCTAATGCTGATAATCCACTTGAATGTCAATTTTTTCATTACATACTCTGCTAAAGATGTCAAAGTAGCAGAATGTATGATATTAAAAAATATATATTTTCCCAATATTTGTTTTTGCGTATATCGACAGCGCTAAATGAGCACTAAATTATTGATGCTTCTATTTGGTGCTGTATTAAGCGGTTATCGTTTTAATAGGTAGAACACTGCTAGCTTAATTAAAAGCTAGCAGTTTTCTAATTTTTGATCAAGCTATTTTGGCGTGAAATTTAAATTTGCAGCACTAAATTAGCACTAAATGAGCACTAAATATTTAGCAAAATTTAAGTGATTTTGCTCAAATGACCATTCCAGCTTAACAGACCTGGTGGACTGTGTGCTGGTTTGAAACCCTTTCCTATAAAAAAAAAAAACTTAATTTTCTATTTTTGAATGATTCTGCTATAATTCATGTGAACTTAATTAGAACTTCAGCTACTGAAAAGTTTCCTATGTTTGTAACAATTCAATTCACATGACTTTGTTAACTTGTGACACATGAATAACTCATGTTAACTTGTCAAGTATTGCTTTTATTATTTTATTCAATTATGTTACATATTGGTTATCAATTGTTTTGGTTATTTATTTAATATTATCCACATTGATATGGCTACTGTGTGGTGTTTTTTGTTATTGTATAGTTTAAAAAAATGTGTAGTGGCGGTGTAAGAATAGGCACTACCCCCTATCATCCCGAGGGTGTCGCAAGACTAAGGGAAAATGAAACAGGAGATGGGCAGCAGCATCTTTCTGATAACAATTCATAATAATAAAAAGCTGCAGTTGCCAACCCGCTTGTGAAGCGTGGCAACTATGGCGAAATACCCCCATGAGGCAATCTATGAGGGACGCCTATGTTCAACAGTGCACTTTTACAAGCTATAATGGATGGATGTAGATAGTATAAAAAAAATGTTAATCCAACAATTATTTGTAGGGCCATACCCACAGTTGTTTCGCTTGGAAATCGAACTCGCGGCCTGCAACGTCGCAACCAAATGCCATTCCGTTAATGACCCATCAATAATGTTTATAAGTTATAACGGATATTATAATGCTTGTGTAACGCGATTTTTTTTAATTATTTTATTCTCCACATTAAATAAATGAGAACAAATCTGTATGTATAGTAAACCAATACCAAATAGTTTTAGATCAGATTCGGTTCGGTAATAAAATGAAATAAATGTAAAACGTTTATTGCAAGTAATAACTCTGTACTGCCTTTACGGCGCCTTGCACGCTATCGCAGATACATATATCATTTTTATATAGTTAC